AGTAATCGTATTTCGTACCGAGTTAGGTCGCGGCGGGCAACTGTGCGCAAGCGTTTTAAAATACATACAATTACCAATCTTCCATATACTGTATGACGCACTAGTTTTTTCGTTTCTTTTTAGCATTAATATTTTATTTTGCCATTTCATTTTGCCAAAGTCTATGTGCATTATTATTATATTAGTTTTGTATTTTTTCTTAATATACATTTAAAATATGTTTAATATATATTTATATTGCAATATAATGAATGTATGTTCTGATTTCTATGTCAACATTCCACAATTTATTCATTTCTTATGACTTGTTTTGCGCACAATTACTCAACCCATGCGCACAATTACCCGACGCGCGAGAAATTTTTTCGCTTTTCTGTTTTTTCCTTTTTGCCAAATACGACCTTATTGAATGAAAATCTGTTCAAGATAAGGATACATAATGGTAGAAGAATGTTTATAGTTTCTATTTTCATACTTATATCGCTTTGAACTTAGAAAACATCCTAAGAAAACAAATATGCCTTAGGTGCGCACAATTTGCCCACTTTCCCCTACTGGTTTTCGATCTGTACCTTTTCGAATTGAAAATGGGAGGTTGGGGCAAGTTGTTACATTTCGATCGGGGCAGGTTGTTAGAGATTTAATGAGATAACAACTTATCCCATTAAATACAATTCTTTTTCTTCTACAGAATGATGCATAGACTTCTATAAACAACTTGCCGACTTCGTCTCCATGTTTGAAGATAGCGCTGGACATCACCATATTTATTTTCACTCACTCTCACATATATGAATCACACGGATAATAACATTAGTGTTTTCACATATGCGATATTCATAGACAGGACGCATGCATACGCAGAGGCGTTACAAGACACTGAGTAAATACGTTCCAGCGTAGGGCGCAAAATTTTAATAGACAGCGCTACTCTTGTAGGTACATATAAAGCTCTATCTTGATATTTTAAATAAATTAGCCCACATTATTTTTTGTTATTTTAAATAAATTAGCTAAAAACGGTTTTCCGGAAATCTTTTTAAATTTAGCGATAGCGTTACAAATCTTATTAGCTGTGCCAATATCTGTGGCAACTACAGAGGCATCTTTCTCAAAATTAAAAATACGCATTCAAAATTAAAAACACGCAATTTAGCTATGATATCAACTGAAAAAGAATTGGTGAACAGTTTTGATTATGTAATCAGTCTTGACAGTCCTACAAATTGAAGACGTAATCGGAAAATTTTTGCAAAAACTAAAGCCAGAAAATGTAATAGTATTGCGTTAAAAAAGCATTAAATATATTATTACAAAAGAAAATATGAAATTTATTGTATTCGTATACCTGTGTTATGCAAATTGGTGGAAATTTCTTTTTTTTTTAATTGTTGGTTTGTTGCAATTGGCGGGGGATTGGTGCTTCAGAGATTTAGCAATCCTTGTGATGAGGCGCAAAAGCAAATTCCAGCGTAGGGCGCCAAAGGCGGTCGTAACGCCTTCGTGCATACGCATATGTAAATTGAAGCAAGGACAACTGGGAATCAGGTTCATCTCTTTCTATCATATTGAATCAGAAGTCTAGTTATAAAAGTCTGTGAAAAAAATGGTGCGATTTTACAAAAAAAAAGACAAACAGAAGATCTGTAAATGCAGAAACGTATGCCACAGCGGTAAAGGAAGTTAAAGATGGCCATCTGTCTGTAAGAAAAACAGCAAATGTGTGTAATATTAATTTTTCGACTTTCTAATGTTGACTTTAATAACTAATTCAAGAAAAAATTTTTGTAACATATTTTTAAAATTTTATATCATAAAATAAATATTCCTGGTTTGATTTATTGTAACCTTAAATTTGCTTATATATACAATATATTTCAAGTGATGTTGTAAATGTACCATCTTGTCCTAGCTCAGTAACAACTTGCCCCACAATGGGGTTGTTACAATTTACTACCCAAGCAGAACAAGTCACAATAACGTCAAAATGACGTTATTATGACTTGTTGTTCTATTTGGGTACTGGTAGAAAATTTTAATTTTCAGTATTTAAAGACATAGATACAAATCAGAAAAAATTGATTATTTAGTGAAAGATGTACTTGAAGTAATGTATACGTACTTGTTATTAGGTGTTAAACTTAATTCCTGCCGCTTGCTACTAGAGGGTGCTGGCTCCAACGCTGGCGAGTTTTGACGATGAAGTCATATGTGTTTTGTAGTTTAGACATCGCTGAAAGTGATTCAATCCTCACAGGTTAGATTTCTCGACGCCAAAGAGATTTTCCAATCGATTGAAAATGAATCGCGATAAGCTGTTTTTCTGACATGTGCTTTTTCACTACTTCCACCACAAGAAAACCGCAGCTGAAGCGCATCGCTTATTATCCGAAGTGTATGGTGATGAAACTCCATCGGAAAGAACATGTAGAGTTTGGTTTGAATGTTTCCGAAACGGTGATTTTGATGTGAGAGACAAAGAACGTCCAGGACAGCTGAAAAAATTTGAAGATGTCGAGCTGCAAGAATTGCTTGATGAGAATCCAGCTCAAACGCTTTTAGAGTTGTCGAAACAGTTAAATGTTACTCCAATGGCCGTCTCAAAACGCTTGCATGCCATGGGAAAGATCCAAGGAAGGGAGATGGCTACCACATGAGTTGTCAGAAAGTACCATTTCAAATCGTTTGATTATTGCGACTTCTTTGCTTGCCAGGTAAAGAAAAAAGAGTTTTTTGTGGCGCATCGTGACTGGCGATGAAAAATGGATTTATTTTGATAATCCCAAGTGGAAAAAATCATGAGTGGACCCCGGTCAATCATCCGCTTCAACACCGAAGAGGAATATTCACGGGCATAAGACCTTGCTGTGCGTTTGGTGGGACCAGGAAGGTATGCTGTATTACGAACTCTTGGATCCAAATGAAACCGTTACAGCTGATCACTACAAACAGCAATTATACCAATTGAGTGACGAATTGATGCAAAAAAGATCATCTCTAATCAACAATCGACGCAAAGTCATTTTATTGCATGATAACGCTTGACCGCATGTCGCGAAAAGCGTGAAGCAGGCACTTCTAAAGCTTGAATGGGAAGTTCTCCCGTATCCAGCGTGCTCTCCAGACTTGGCACCGTCGGATTACCATCTCTTCCGAACGATGCAACACGCACTTACGGATACACACTTCTCCAGTCACAGTGAAGTCCAAAAATGGGTGGATGAATGGATCGCCTCGAAAGACAACGCGTTCTACCGTGGGATTGCCCTGTTGCCAGAGAGATGGGAAAAAGTAGTAGAAAATGGAGAAAATTACTTTGATTAAGGTATTCATTCATCTTCCCTTCGAAACATTAATTTTGGAGACGAAAAAACGGCAGGAATTAAGTTTAACACCTAATAATTTAAACGTATACATGAGTACGGAAAAAATTGCTAATCAAAAATTGTAACAACTTGCCCTGATTTCCCCTACTTACGACACGGAATATGTTAATGATACAAAAATGCTTTAATTTTCCATAATTACTCTAGTCTTCAAATAATAGGAAAGACCGGGAACAAAAGTAACAGCGTACAACAGTAACATTCGTTAATATTTCTTAAACTATAATGCGGGGTCTACAATAGAAGTCGTAGCGGTCGTAGAGTCTTAAGTCGTGGAAAATTAACCAATCACAGTCAAACATGAGAAGAATAATAGACTATGATTGATCACTATGATTGACCGCTATGACTCCTATTGTAGACCTCGCATAATAGATGTGTATGTGGCTGCATGGTAAAATTCTGTAAACAGATCGACATTGAATCGTTCATTACATACTGGTTCTCGCGGAATGTGAACGAGTTTAAGAGCAGAAATTACTTTTTTTCATGCATCAAATTAGTTTTATTGCGTACATAATATCTAAAATATCTTTTTTCTTTGTAACGAAGATATAATGTATTATCTTAATATGTTTCAATAATGATTTGTGTTGATGATTTGCATATTTGAGTTGATTTTTATCTAGATTTTTATTTAAAAAATTTACTATGAATCATAAAATACCATTAGGGGACAATAGTAACAATCAATGCCTGCTCCTGTATTCTGTAATTCGTTATGTAATCGTTATATGCTCATAAATAACGACAGTTGCGCAGATATTTTATATAGTAAAAAAGCTACGCAACTGTCATTATGAACACATAACGACTGCATAACGAGTTACAGAATACAAGGACTGGAGTCAGTTGTATCGTTACAATTATCCCCGAACTTACTTGATTTTATTTTAGTATTGTTTTGTACAATGTTGTTTGTACTTTTCTTCATAGAATACCGTTAACAAAAAAACGGAAAACAGATTAAGAGAAAAATGATACAAAAGAAGTGTCTTTGTACAGACATTTAAAGAGATGATAAAAGACCATTTATCCATTCGTGCAGCTGCAAAAAATAGTATGACTTATATAGTTGTGTTATGTACCTTTGGCAAATATGGTACAATTATCCCCCTCTACTGTTATAATCGTCCCGAGGATTAGGACGGTTGTAACAAAATTCTCCATAGTTTTTAAAGAAATATAACTTTTTTTCTAGTTACATAAAAAGATTAAACTAAAGAAAATTTTGTAACTAAATAAATTCTACATCTAAAAATATGTACTTTTTTAAATGTAAATATTATATTTTAATTGTTATAATACTTCAAAGTCAAAATATTACTTTTATCCCCGGTTTCCCCGGTGATAAAAAATAACATGCTATTGCGCGTGAGCGTGATTGTAAAAAAATAAAGAGATTAACAATAATTTCTTATTTTCGGGATAATTAATTATATTTTTAAGGGAAGGTTCTCATCTATAGAGAGAGGTCCAAAAACACGGTGATTTTTTCTTGATTTTTTTTCATAGAAGGAAGTAAATGAATAACTTGAGTTTTTTGACAGTTATTTATTGACTCTTAAAGTGTAGAAAAATATTTTTTTTTGAGGATAAAAGTGTCATGGGAAGTGTTAATACGCCGTCGAACGTCACGTTGAAAAAAAAGGTACCCAAACGGTCTTCATCGCACAGCACGTTCATGTCATCTGAAATGAAAAAACCAAAAAATTTTATAAATTATATGATATTTATTGGAGCTTGAACCTATAATATCAATAAAAAGTCGAAAATGATAAAAATGGCGGACATGTGAATTTTTAGTACCGTTTTTTCACATTTTTCGCTCTTTAAAGTGCTCTAAAAATAAAAAAAAACGACAAATATCATCTGAATTTAGGTTTAGGATCCAATAAATTTTATCTACTTTAAAATAAAAAAAATCCAAGTCAATCCATCGAGTAGTTCTTGAGATATCGTGGAGACCAGTTTGAAAAACATGATCTTTCAGAAAACACGTTTTAAGATTTGGTTAACGATTTTTTCGAGTTATTAGCAAAATAATGTACCTTATAGCTAATCAGCAATTCCAGGGCCATACATCAATCCTTCGTCGACTTCATACTGCTCCATTTCAGCGATTTGGGCGGCTTTCTTCGATAATGCAGCTGCTTTTGCCTGGTCTGTCAAACTGTTTTCAGCTGCAGTGATACGCGTAGTATCTGTGATCTGAGCAAAGTTGTTCGCTTCAAGTCCAACGGTGATTCCCAATAAATCCATGATTTTTAAGAGAGTAATATAACCTTCATTAAATAAACTGACGGTTATATAAGTGGTAATTTCAACGGATTTTGCAGCGCAATGCAGATGTTTCGGGGCAAGCTTCCATACACAAACGTTGACTCGTTCGAATTCTGAGTATTACCTCCGGTACACCGTTTCAACAAATCATCTGAGGACAAAGCTTCGAAAACGGGTTTTATTGCATCTTGAACTTTTTCTATGAGAGGAGGCTTGTGATTAAATGATCTAAGAGTACCGTGAGCTTCAGCCACGCGCTACTTGCACCAACTCTCTTTGCCCGCCGGACAGTACATGTGCTACGGTTTGTCATTTGTTGAAATATTATGGTAAAAAACAGCCCATATGGCATTTTTCATATCTTCTGCTGAATCTGGATTTCTCCTAATAGCCAAACCATAATATATTGTCAAATCAGAAATTATCTTGTCAGTTAATTTTCCAGCGCCTTTACCATCAAGGCCCTTTGTATTTTCCTTTACAGCTCGAAGTCGGGACCCCATTCTCTTCTGCACATGGCCCACACATTCTTTTTTTTTCACGACAAGATCACCGTAAGGTGCAAGATTTTGAATGCTCTTGAATGTCTTCGTATCTCCATCGCCTATGTAGTACTCGTACTTGACGCCATGCAATTCGTTCGAACGTAAAAACATTTCGGTTACCGCATCAACCTCTATTTTTCCGACACTTAGTGGTTTGCAGAACATACATCGTTGTGACTTTCTTTCCATAAATCATATTCGATTGAACCTTGTTTAGATTTCCAATTAGCGCACGATTGACAATAAGCAGATCACAACACCTATTACTTTATTTGTGTACTTTCCTATCAGTATAGTAAGACCAAACAGTGACGAAAATCCTCTTTTTTCCATGAGCCGTCTCCCGAAACAGTTAAATGTCATGCTCATTTCCGGCTGCAGTATTTTTTTCGATTTCTTCTCTTATTGCTTTTTTCTGAAAATTCTCGAAAATGGCTTTTGATGCTGCATGCAAATTGTCCATGAAAGTATAGTAAATATTATTACTAAATGATGCTGTTATATCTAACATTGCGTAGAACGTTTTTAAATTCTGTAGTCCTCCTCCCAGCAAACGTATAGCAAACAGACGATGATTTATTTCAGCAAAACGATTTACGGTTGGACTAGAATAGCAAAAGCGAGACTTACAAGAACATTCGGTCACTAACTTGAAAGAAACACCTGCACCATTTGTTTTCCTAAATTGAATGTCACTATTATAAGTTTTACACTTTACAAACTCACTGAGAAACGTAAAAACATTTAAAAAGTGCAAGATAACGTAATTTGAATTCACATCCATGATCACTTCGTCGTAATTTGTATTGTTCAATTTCTTCGCCGATGTGCTGACGTATTCTGTTTCGCATTCCACACTGAATTGATTTCCTTGGTATTTTCTTTTCCGAACTCTTCCCGCATGAGCATTCTTGCTTCTAGCACCTTTTTTACTTAAATTGGGCATGTTTATACACCGATAAATATTACACGACTGTTTTATTACGCAGCACGTGGTCGACTAACCGCTAACGCTGCACGCTACAACCGCACATATTAAGTGTATAGAGACGCATGCTTTCCGTTATTTCAACGCCATACAGCGTTGCCAACCTCCGCATTATTAAAAATCGTACCAACAATACAAAATTATCGTATTTTGATTAAAATTATCGTACATTTTTTGTTGTTAGATAGATATACATATTTATTAGGTCTGTTCGCGTTGCTTGCACTTTTTGCATTCAGCATCTTCGCTTTCTCTTTTTTTAACGCCCAAATATATATCTATTTCATTTTAAGTATAAAAATTTTTGGGTTTCAAGCAACGCAAACAGATCTATATTGAATAGATATATTTTTTAATGAAAAAAAAATAACAATACTGAATATTTGTAAATATTTATTTTTAAAATTAAAGTTTTTAATTTTAAAACAAAGAACTTGTAATTATAATCTCACTAGAAAATTTTTTTAAGTATTACATTTATAAGTCTTCTTCGTTATACATAAATTATATAAATTATAAAACACTAGGGAACATTTTTTAAAATTTTAAGTACATAAATATTTACTTAACTTTGGTTATATGTAATAGGAACTATATAGGAAACATAAATACTAGAAAATATATTTTTTTAATTATTACATACGTAAATCATTTTGGTTATATAGAAAAAAAAACAATAAGGAACAACTTTTAACCTTTTGAGGACGGGACTGGCCAGTATACTGACCAAGTGACCGCTCACAAACTTGGCGACCCTAATCTAATATATTATTGTATATCTTACCATTTAAATTTTAAACAAAGTTAGTTCTTGTTTCAATTCTCTGAAGCGGATTGGACTCTAATTTTTTAATAAAAAGTGTACTTTTCATGCCATTAACAAATGTGAGATGAATCAGAACGGACGCGATTTCACTGACCATATACCGTTCTATATGTGCGACTGCGTATTTCTCGGGGCACCTTGTTTGATCATGTTGTGATTGTCCAATGTCCACCAGCTAATCCTAACCTAACCCTAACCCTAACGACCAGTGCCTAGGAATTTTCCTTGCTCTAGCGCTGTGGCTGATGGCGCCTATTTGACCAGTCGGTAAAACATTGTCGACGGTTATCATCGAAGAGTGTTCTCTTAAAATTTAATCAAAATTGCCAAATTATCGTACTTTTACGTACGATCTCACTCTTTGGATCGTACATCGTACAAAGATCTATATTATCGTATTTGTACGATCAAGATCGTACGGTTGGCAACGCTGACGCCATAGCGCATCTAGCCACATCTGGTGGTGCTTGAGATAACTATTCTTACCACAGTATGGTAATACAGGCGCGCATTTCAAAAAGATTGACGTGAGATACTCATTACCGCGCAAACTCAATTCTCTCAATTTTCGTGAAAAAAGATGAGTTCCTTTCTTATGCGATAACTTTTTTATGCAATCGTTATCGGCCAAACCGCTTTGGGAACATATTCTGCACATCATAAACTATCGAAAAATGCAAAAAAATCGATTTTTTGGTCGAGTATCATGAGAACCTCCCCTTAAAGTTTTTTGATAAATTAGTTTCTATATTCTTTAATTCGACATTTTTAATATTTCCCTTCTTTTTCATTTTCCTTTTCTTTCTTTTTATTTAATTCTGGCATTGAAATTCTCGATGTAGGGGAGCTCACCATGACAGGATAACTTTTACTTTATATATGTTAGTGTGTGTTTGCTCTGAGGAAGGCTAAAAAATGAGTCGAAACATGTAAGCGCGTTTAGTGAATAAAGAAGTTTCACTCTTTATAAGTGTATTATTTGCGCGACGTCTTCTGCGCCTGACTCCTAGTGCCCTTACTCTTTCCAATTCTTTGATTTGTAAGGAGTCTTGATTAGTTTGATTTATTAACGGATAATCATTTCATTTAAAATACATAGATATGTATTAGATAATACATACATATGTATTAGTTTTCATCTAACTTTGACCGTAAGTGCATGGCGCTTCTTGTATTTAGTTAAAGAGATTAACACTCGTTAGGAACGAAATTCTATTCGTTGCCTTTAATTTTATATCGTATCGTTATTTTAGTTTGATTTTTTCCCCTATTCGTAGTAATTATATGATAAATAAATATATTTAACATTTCTACAGGAAAAACAGTTTAGATTTTTCAATATTATTTTATAGCTTCGATGTGGTTATCGTAAAAATATTAAATATGCTACGCGCGTGCGTGCGCGTGCGTGCGTACGTGCGCTGGCTTGTAACACTAATTTAAATTAATGTAATTTTGAACACTTTATTAAATTTTGCATGCTTTCCATTACATAAGCCAATACAAATATTCTATCCTTCTTTGCATTCCATAAGTAACGATAAGCACAGAACGATACTTGTATCGACTTGTGTCACCAAATGAAAAACATTTTTTATTATTAACAACACACTGAGATAGTATGTATTCATATGGTAAAAGGGTATACATCATCTTGACGTTGTAGTAATAACAATATGTAAAATATTTATTTACAAACAAACGGGATAAAAAATCAAAGTTCTATGTTTCATTAATATAATTATTTAGAAAAAGAGGGGAAAGAGGCCTAGGAAAAATATACGAGTGATGCAAAAGAGAAAAAGAACAAAAATTTAAGAATGAAAGATGCACAAGAGAGAAGGAAAAAGAAATAGGAAAGAACAAGAGAAGAAAAATAATAGAAAATAATAAGAAGAAAAAGAAAAGTGAAAAAGTGAGAAACAATGAAAAAACAGTAAGAAAAAAGAGAGACAAAAAATAAAAAGGAAGAAGACTTATGTAGTGTAGAGGAAAGAAAAAAAAAGGCTAAAGAAATAAACAGAGGAAAGAGAAATAATAAGGAAATAGAAAGAAGAAAAAAAAAAGAAAACATAGAATGAAGAAAAGAGATGAAAGGAAAGAAGAAATGGGATGAGTTTGGAAAAGGCTCAAGAGCAGAAAAAGGAGAGGGAGATGGAAGGGGATATTCAAATTATTGGCCTCTAAGCAAGATTGAAAAAGGGTAAAATATTTTAAACAGAGTTATGCATTATGTCTTTTTTAAATAAATCGCATACTATGATGTAAAAAAAATGATGCCGTAGACAAAACTTAACACAGTGTATTATTTCTATTAGAATTAATTATCTTCATTTCCAAGTTAATTTGCTTATTTAGATAATCATTATTTTCTGTTTCATTACACACTAGAAACTATATATTATTATAAATTCTCTCTTAATGTATGAACAAGGGGGATAAAATTTGAATAAACAAGTATGTGTGAGTAAACAAGTATATGTGCACCGTTCTTGCCGAATAAAAGGAATTTTCAATTAAATATTATCTATTACGCATATACTGGGTGTTTCAGACCATCAGTACTATCCTTTTATCTTCACAGGATAAAGTCCAACCATAAAAGTGTTCAGATAAAAGTTGTATGGTTTAAGGGCTCACATAGATTTCTCAGTTTTAAAAAATCGATTTTTTTGCTTATTTTAAAAGGTACATATCTTAGAAACATTTTAAGATCAGAACGAGTTCGATATTCGAATTATTGACGAAGTTAAGCTGCTTTAACGAAACTAGTCAGGTCGCTCCGCAGGTCAGAATTCTAACCGGTTACCGGTAGGGTGTATTGTCGTCGAAATATAGAACAGATTGCAGTCAGAAAAGGGTCATCATACTGCAGAGGAAGGCCAACTTTTATGGTGCAGGCATCGCTGATTAAGCGTAAGTAAAAATTTTTTATTTTATCCTTGCAAAACTTTAAACGCGTTTTTCTCGAAATAGCATTTTTCAGAACGGTGGGCATGATAACTGCCTCACCGTTCGTCCGATTAATTTCATTTTTGGTATACGTATTCTAAATTAGATTCACTATCGTGTCATGAGAGCTTTTTTGATTAAATTTAACCATTTTCGAATAGCAATAAAAAATAGACAATTTTTTTGTGAAAATTACAATTTTTCTTTCAAATTATGACCATTTCCGTAATGTTTTTTTTTTCTTAAATTCCTCTCGTCACACGAGAGCTATGATTCTAAAAAATAATACAAAATTTTAAATTTTTGTTTCAGATAAGAATTACGAGCTGAATCATGCCCACCGTTTGACCCGATAAAAAAAAACACGTTCTACGCCACTGGACGCAGCCGCCATGTTTTTAATTATTTTTTAAATTTATTTATACGTTTTATGCTCCTTATAAGAATCCACCTTTAAAATAAAAAAAAATGAAATCAATTAGCTCAATAGTTTTCTTATAATTTCTCATCACATTTTGACTACTTTTCAAGTTCGAGAAACATATGTGAGCCGTTAAAGAGATCTATTTACTAATCTTATCGGTTCGATTTTAGGTGGCATCGCCACAAGATCAGGTCAAAGTCATATTGATTTTTTTAAATAGAACATCCAACTTTTTATTACGGCATCTAATAGCCGATGTCGAGAGCTTTTCAAAACACTATAATAACGTTATTTTTCATTGAGTACTTTTTGAGTTATAGGACTCGAAAGTTACAGTATCGCCGGCATTAGCATTACGCAAGATAAAATCGACGGCTAAAACCTTTTGAATGTTGTTCAGTATTATGTCCTAGATAACATTTGTTGAGATCAAGCCATTTGAGATTATTCCTTTTATTTTCATTTTTGCACTAAAAATTCATTTTTACGTAAAAATGAAAATAAGAACAATCTCTATTGAGTTTAATCTTGATAAATATTATCTTGGTTACGATCTTGAACAACATTCAAGAGGTTTTAGCCGTCGATCGGACACCTTGCGTAATGCTAATGCCGGCGGTACTATAACTTTCGAGCCCTATAACTCGAAAAGTACTCAATGAAAAATAACTTTATTATAGTATTTTGAAAAACTCTCGACATTGGCTATTAAATACTGAAATAAAAAGTTAGGTGTTCCATTAAAAAAAATCGGCGTGACCTTGATTTGATTGTTGGCGACGCCACCCAAAGTCAAATTGATAAGATTAGTAAATAGATCTTTTTAAA